AGTGCTACTTGCTGGAAATGAAACGTCGGTGAAAGAAAAGAAGAGACGATTTTCGGCAGAGTGCATATGCCATAAAATATCGTACCGACAGCAACGTCGTATAATCCTCTCAGCTTTTTTTCTTTCTGTTATTTTTAATTTCAACGTCAGCAAAACCATTAATTCTGCCGGCTCGGCTTAAGCTTGAGAGAGATGTGATCGATTCGTCCAAAAGCGATTTCTCGCCTTTACTCGATTACCAATATACTTAAATATGTATAGGTAGTTATACCTCAATACCGTTGAGTAACTTATCATCGAGACGTCGCTGGCGCACGCGTGTCAACAACAATGGTATTAGTAATGTAAATACGTGTAGTGCTGAAAAATAATGTTGAGATCCGATAGTTATTATTCAGTGTCCGTGTCTTTGCGATTAAAGATAAATAAAATATATAGAAAATGTACAAAAAGCAATTTAATTTGAACTCGATTATCCAAAGAGATGATATAATAATGTGTCGTATACACATGTTATTATTGTGTCAAACAAGAGTGAGTGGTAAAATAGAATACTCGACAGAATTAAATATGGGTAGAGTTTGTACATTGGACGTTGTTTCATTCGACTCGATTATAAATTTATTGGATGATTCACCAAGCGTATTTTATGATCCCTCCAATTTTTAATATTATAATGTTTTTTTTCGTCAAATTTGAAATCTGGCAATTTTTAAGTATATTTAAGAACCATATTTTTAAGCTCTTATATATTTATACTATTTAAGGAGTATCATGTGAATATGTGATGAATGATGATATAAACTTATTTTTTTCAAGTCATTACCAACCTTTTTTTGCTAATTGTTCATCAGAGAATTGTTTTGAAAATGTTAATGTCATACCTATCTAAATCAAAATTAGCACTGGTAATTTCTGAGTAATTAAAATGTATGTACTAAAGAGTAAAGACAATAGTTCTAAAAAATGATTTTACAAGTATTTACAATACATTTAATCTATTATAGGTATTTACAATACTAAGTTTATATTTTCAAGTTATAAAATGTTAATACCTTAATATTAAAAATAAGTAGGTAGGTAATTACTAATCAGATACTACTTTGATTTTCTAATAATCTTAATTCATTGCCCCAATATCTTTTAAACATAATTTTTATTATGTACCTAGTATCTTTGTAACACAAAGTTAAATAAGTAACTTAAATACTACGAGTTCGAATTTCGATTTAGATCAACGTTTTCAAAAAAATTATCTGCTTAACAATTTACGGAAATAACGGTGGTTCTTATTTGAAAAAGATAAGTTGTTATCTCTACCTGCACAAGCACACTTTAAAATTCAAATAGTATAAAAAAAATCTAAGTACCTATGTATTTTAAAATATGATACTTTATTGTAGGTAGGTATATTTCAAAAATTCCAAAATAAGAATTTAAATATAATGTACATTATACTTTATTAAAATATAACAGGTGGGAGGTGAGATGTGCTAGGTGAATTACCCTGTATAAATAGTATCTATATAGTTTATTGTATAATTTGGATTTTGGAGAATAACTGTTGTATATTGGGCCTTGGGCGTTATCAAACATAGGACATTTTTGTATATTGGACCTTATAGTATTGAATATATACATCTAATATTCATATCGTATTCAAGAGAATACAATTTATGTTCATCTATTATTTATGTAATCCAATTTCGAGTTCTGACATACAAAATTTAAAATACACAACTACCAATATACGAAAAACAATTTTCTTGGCGATAATAATATATACACGTAGTGTCTATATTAAATATTTTCAACTACGACAGTATACATATTTTTTATTATATAACAATATTACGTTTATTCATTGTCGTACACAAAAAAATAATAAAACAATATTTTTGATAAAAAGAAAAAAATCGATTCTCAAGTAGTATTTCAGAATTTTAAAAAAGGTAGGTATATAAATAATTGTAGAGGTACATACCTCTGTATGTATTCTTGCAAATACAGAGGGGTATCCCTGTTCTCGCGTGATAGCTGCGTTTTATAAATAATAATGTCCTTGTGATGTTACTTATTTTGCTTGAGGACACTATACCCACATGTGTGGTCTCCGTCTTACAAGAGCGTAACATATCAAATTTTTCTTTAATATTAAATGAGTTGTTAGAAATATATTGCTATACATGATCAGTTTTAGTGGTGCAGTAGTTATGAGGGTAACCTAACCTTAAATACTTGAGATTTTTGTACCAGTTATACGGATGATCTTGTGACTATACAAACTTTTGTTTTTCGATTGGTATTAGTTCTAAAGTTATATATTATTTTTGTGTACCTAATAAAAATAATATGCTTATGATAATAAGTTAAGTAGATATGGGAGCTTAAATGATTTGAAAATGTTGGGAATTTATTTTTGAATTTTGATCTACCGAACTAAATAATTTGAGAACTCATATAAGAAGAAACCATTGTATTTATATACTGGGGTACTAATATCACCTATATTTTTGTATAGCGGGTCACGCAATCAATATAGATGGCAACGCAATGGCTGATAAAGCAGTATAAGAAGCTGCACACCCAAACAATTACACAGTTTAACATCTCAACATATTCAATAATCAAAATCCAAATTAAAAACTCAATCCCAATAAAATGGAAATCATAGTGGTTGAGAAAACACTACTACAACAGTGAACAGATTAAACTCAACTCGCTAATTGAGTGGTTTTATTTTTCATTTTTTGACAACCAACAGAAAAATTGTCATATTTTCCGTCGCGGGAAATGGTATTTTAATAATTACATGTATATATATAGTATTATGAAAATTCGAGAATTACCTATAGGCTACATAGGCTATACTATAGATATTGGGAAATGAAAATTGCATATGAATTACCTATAGGTTGTTAATGCTGGGCATTAACGAGTTAAAAAGATAAAGTTGCCTGTAAACAGACATACATTAGCTCATATATTTATATATATATATAGATATTTTATATTTTTTTAAAATTAATTTATAATAATGGTTATAATAAAGCATAATATTAACAGAAAAACTATAGGGGTAATCGTCTCACGGAAAAAAGAAAAATGTAACTATTTACTCAGTATCTATTCACGTTTGTACACTCATTAATAATAATTAATAATTATATTATATTTTTGTTCATTTATGGAACAACTGAAATTAATTTTATTTGATGTTATATATTGTGTGCGTTATTGGTTGAATATTTAATAATTAATTTGGTTATTACAATTTAGTATAGTCGTGGACAAATATATTAAAATAATTATTTTGTTGGATTTGGTCATTGATTAAAATATTGAAGTACCTATGTAAGTACCTACAGCAATTAAACGTATATTTAAAACTGTAAGACCTGTATAAATTAGGTAGATACCTACTATGTTATTTGTTAGCTTTAAAAAAAAGTAAAATTTTTAATTTTATAGGAAAATAATATGAATTGATTTTTAGTAACAGTCATGTTACTTATATTGTCTAGTTAACTTTTAAATGTTTTTATACTAACTTAGCTTTACGAGTTGACAAAAATAGTAAGTTGCTCAGCATTGCCTACCTATAATAGGTATATAGTAATATACAAATGTGTGAATTACCTATATGTTATAGGTACGTCAAAACGTTCAAGTATAAAATATGTATAATGCTTGCAAATGTTGAGTCGTAAAAATTGAGCATACATAATATTATATTATAAGATGGACACATAATAATATACCTACCTACCTACCTGTTGGGTGAGTTATTGTGTCTTGCCGCATTGCTGGAAAACTAGAAACAAAGGCAACCCACTCTTTGGGGCTGATTCTATCATTGAAGGTTACCAAAGTCTGAAACTAGTAAATCAGTTATATTTTGCCATACAGGTTCTTAAATAGCTTTAAAATCATTCATGGTCATTCTGGCGAGTGGTGACTATATCGTGTTCGTGTTTAAGATGGTTTTCGAAATATTGAGTATTGTTAAAATCAAATTCCCATGTTGTAAGAAGTTTATATAACATTTTTTGTTCAAAAAATAAGGACCAGCATAGATAGAATAATGTTGATCTTGAATAAGTAATTTAAACACTCAAAACATTGATGCCAGCTGAACGACACTATCACATAAAGATTTTAAATAGTACGATAATACAAATAAATAAATAATAATCATACCTGAGAACGTTATAAAATAAATAATGTACTTAATAATTTATATTCGTGATTGGTAATAAATATACAACTTTCTGTAGGTATTAAACGAAATATAGATTTAACCCAATGGTATAACTGTGGCCTATACAATTGAGCAAAAAATTGTATATAATATATTTTAATAAAAGTGGATTTGTGGATTTAACTAAAATATTACCACCCCTTCCCGCTCAAACCACCATTAAATGTCTAGGTGGTACCACCTATGACGGTATACTATGCGTTGGTCAGACGGATGGGGAAGGAAATCTTTTAAATCGAATACTACACCTTTATGAGAGTGGACTGCAGATGAATGAAACAAAATGAGATTGAATTTTTTTTGTTCGTTCATTTATTTATACACATATACAGTATAAATAAATTATATAATAATAATAATAATAATTAATAATATATGATAAACGGATTCGAAGAAGGGAACAAAATTAAAATCGACATTCGGATCTATATCGTACACGCGCAAACGTATTATCTAATATATTATTACATCAGATATCATAATATTATTATCTAATGCTTAAGTAAGTACGGAATATAGAAATTAATTTCAGCGTATAATAATATAATATATTAGTATATAATATTAAGTATTTTAATGCTTATCTGTAGTATAATAATTATAAATATAATGTTATTATTATTATTAATATTTCACACAGTAAAATGTATTGTTCGTATGTGTATACAGCACACGATAATTACAACTTATGATATTTAATTTTATTATAATATATTAATTAAAAATTAATACGTGACAGTGTCAATTTTGGTCGTAACATCGAAAAATTAAAACGCATTAAAATATGAACGAGAGAAATATGTTTAACCAGAAGTGTTTATAATATTATATTGTATTATAATAATAATTTAACATTTGATTGATACAACAAAATCTTCTTTGTGTGAGTGTGTGTATGTGTGTGTATTACTATGCGGAAAATAATTTTCTTTCGGGCGGTTGTTAGCTGCCATTTGTAAGTCGTCATCCACTGTCTTCTGATAGAATTATTTGTCGGTTTTTGGTTTTTTCTGCCTTGCCTGTAAACATACGTCGAAACGTTTTAATCAGTAAAAGACAAAATAACATTAGGGCTTTTTACACGTTAGTGACGTTATTACTAATAAAATTTAAATAATAATACTATGCAAACGTCCGTGTATTCGTATATAGTTACGAAATAAAATACTTTAAACCAGGTTACAACAATTTCGTAAGTATGTCGTTGATGTATTTTGAACGAAGCCCCTCTTATGGATTTGCTGACTTTATATTTGAACCCTTAAATCTAATACTGGGTTAGATAGCGATCAATGTTATCAAAGTACTGTAATCATACTAACATAATATCCATAACGTCTTGTGACTAGTAATATTTATTGTAACTTCCAATACGTAAAAGATACCTACACCCGGCTTTGACTAATAATACATTTAATTATAAATTAGGTTATAATTGGACAATATCAACAAAGTGGTTGTTGAAGTTTTAAAATATTGAAATACATTTTATAGTATAATGAGCATCGATAATAAAATAAAGAATTTTTAATATTGGTGCATATTTTTTGTATGTTGAAGTGTGTTATTCATATTATTTGGTGTCGATATTGTATAATTTGCATTTGATGTATCGGTGCCTATATGTGTTATATTTTGTTGTGTGTTGTATTTGTATTTATGTATACCTAATAATATGGTCTAACCAAACCTAATAAACATTACAATAAGTAATATTATTTTGTAAACAATATTTTAATATGTTTCAATATTAATATTTTGACTTTTTAGTTGCACCTTGCATATTACATTTTTGTGAAGAATTACTACAAATAAATACACTATAAAAAAGACATTATTTTCTTGAAGAAATAAACATATACTATTAATACCTAACTTGTAACTTTAGATGTAACACTTATAGTTACAGTATCTTTAAATTGTATAACTAATTACGTATCGTACACATTTCCAATGTACCTTGATATCTTGTACAGTTGTATTTTGTAACTAAACTCATAATGATTTGAGTGCAACTTGTTACCAGTTACAACTAATCGAATAATTTGACCATCCCCGACAACATAATACAGTTGGCATCCGTATAAGTTGTAGGCATGGGCACTGGAACTTGATGAAGTAAATAGGAATACAGACACTTGAGCAGTGTGTATCCTGTTAAATTTTCCTGCTCACATTGTACTTACCAGTAAAACATAAAAATAAGAAACTAAAAAGAATAAATAAACAAGAAATAATCCAGAGGAAATATCCTTATGACTTAATATTGTCTCGGAGACACAAAACACTGCATATTACGACTATATATAGGTGACTGTAGAGTGCGGTTATACTGTGTGTGCATACATACATAATACATAATATACATATTACATTTCATACACATCCATACATACGTATATATATGTGTGCATGTGCGTTTGTATCTTACGTGTATATAGTAGAAATGTGCCTACAGTTATTGGTTTTTGACATACGTAAGTCGGTCGCCTGGCCAATGTTTTTGAACGGCTGTGCCATCTCTTCAGATGGCTGAACAAATAAATACTTTGAGCGCGCTCGAATAAACAAGCAAAAGGCTAAGCTAAACCCACATACATCCACATACACCAGTGCACCACACGTCCAAATACCAAATACATACATATATATACAGGGTGTTAGTAAACATTTATAATCTTGAAAATTATCAAAATTTGTAAAATATTATTAATATTAATTTAAAATCATAAAAAACATCAATTTAAAAAAAAACTATATTTTTAATCATTATTTATCCTCAACATTTCTAAAGTGCTTTACTTTTTTGAATGTGGACATAAATGACTAAATTTTGTAAGATATACTCCTGTGCCATTTCACTGAGGTATTATAAACTTAAATGACCTACATATTAAGTTAGAACGTATAATTAATGAAAAAAATTCTTGGAAAAATATTCTGCTTAGGAATATGTATTTAAAATGTGTGTCATTGATTCAAGTAAACGATCTAAAAAAAGGATAACAATAGTAAAATATTGTCTTACAAGAGGGCTTTCAGAAGAAACACTTAAATATATGAAAAAAAATATGTATTGAAATGTTAATGCTTTTTGAAATAATCATTTTTAAAAGAATAACTTTCTATTAGGTATACCTATTACCTATGTTTAGTCAGCGTGCACTTGGGTGAATATCTTGACGTATATCATGTCCTCGGGAACGGATGAAAGCTATTTCAAGGAATTGCGGAGTGTTGACGAGTAGAGGATATAATATTTGCTAACGATGAGCATCAACGTTTCACGGAATTATTGTGATTCTACTTGGTACAAGGCCGTTGGGTTAGTTTTTTTTGTTTTTAATCATTTCTTAATCACATCAAAAGTTTTAAGCTCACTAATGACAAAATCGCTAAGAAGGCCGCGATATACCACTGGCCGAATAATTGTTCATTATCCCTTTTCCTCAGGATTTCTTGTAAACAAGGGGCTTAAGTTGTTATTAACAATTTTACTTTACGTGGACCGGACGGGGCCTGCAAGTGGAATAGTTTGACGTAGACAAAGTGCGTTTATACTTTACGCCCGCTAACTGGAACGAAACTTATTTCGAACAAAAATATAATTCAAAACACAAACAAATACTTTTGACAGACGCCTTTTAAGTATACAGCGAGAAATATCCTTCTGGCTTCAAAGATTTTTTTTCAAAGATTTCACAAGCGAAATTCAATTCCATTTACAACTCTGTATTAATTTAATATTCTCTATCTAACATTCTAACCGGATAATATTTATTACAAAATATGAATAATAAGTAATAACTCTTAACTATGAACACCTGCAAGAACTATGATAGTAATTTCTAGGCAGCACATTGTCCCATTGATCATAATTGCAGTATAATTACCTAGTTAAACTTATAAGAACCTACTACTATATTAAACATGACACATGTTAAATGTAGTATTGCTATAAGTATGGAATAAACAAATGCATAATTTTGAAAGATAATAATAAATAAATTAAGCGATGTAAAAATGTTGATCTTAACATTGCTCTAAGTCTCTCCATTGTCTGTTTATATTATTTTAATTGAGCGAGTTCAACTTGCACATCTAAATTTGTCTAGGTACTGATAGACCAGGAGTCGGGGACCTTTCATAAGCAAAATCCATTTTTAAAAAAAATTACAAAACCATGATTTCCAGGGAGCGGCACAGGTTGAACAATCTTTTTTTTAGTTGGAGTTGTTAGTGTAGACAATATATTATAGAATATTAGAATAAAGATAGAATTATTATTTTATTAAAAAATTGGTAGGCATTAAAATCATAATGATACGTCTTAAATTTAGAAAATATAAAAAACTTTATTTTATTAATTAATTTTATTATTTTTATTGTTTGAACATATTATATAATATTATTTAATTAAATACAATAACACACAAATAACGTATCTACTTGATATTAGTGGGAATTTTCCAAAGAGCCGCAGGTTGCATATTAAAGAGCCGCAGGTCCCCTGTGATAGACGGTGTTTAGTTGTATAAGTGTGTTGGTACCGATAGACAATGATGACGATGGTTACGCAATACTTATACACATAATATTATATTAACACTTATAGGTAAATAAAGTAAATTGTATATATAATTATTATGTTATAACTTATCATTGTAATATAGTTATACAAAGTGGTGACAGTAAATATTTTAATTTCAAGATAATCTGTATTAGATAGATCAAATATTACTATAGTATTATAAGTTAAGATAGAGTATAACTATTAATGTAATAGCGTGAAAACATATTTCCCCTCCATCATCAAGAACAAATCCTAAATACGCCACAGATGTAGGTTATTTTATTATATTAGGTACTATTTACATCAACAATACTTCGATACTAAGCTATAGCGCTTAAATTATTACCTATGTTGAACGCAAAAACTAAAAAACCACATTGCGCCAATTTTTTTTTAAATTTAATAATTGTTTTTTTTTTTTAAATCTTTACAATGGTACAATTCAGATACGTAACATATAAATTTATGGTGAAACTGTAGTACACATGTTATGTATCTAGAACGAGTGAAACTTGAGTACTTAAACAAAAAAATTTAAAAAAAATTACGTAACTACATTTAGTAACAGGATGGAGGAACAAATCATGGTTAAAATAGAACAACTCTACTCCAACATATCGAGTGTTTTCAGTAATCGTGGACTGCATATTCTTCGATGTATAAAATAGTACGTACATTGCTCACACTTTTAAATACGACAATCATGATACATTTCTTACTTACATAGGTATAACATTTATTTTGGAATACTGCGTACTTCATAGGTACTTATGCGTGTGTAGAGTCGTCTGAACGGTGTTTTTAAAATAAATTATGCAGAATAATTTATGATGTGTCGCGCAACAGTATAATCATAATATTATATAGGTACCTGTGTAAATAACAAATATCCGGCTGCGAGAATACACATAACAACGCCTTGGTATACGCATTAGGTATTTAAGGTTCCAAAAATCGAACGATTTCAATAAAAGTATAAGAAGTGTAGAAATTGTCGGGTTTCCGATAAATCGACAGCTTGTCGAAATCGGACGACCGGACGTGCCGACGCGTTCAATATAATATAGGTATTACATACAACTAAATCACTTATAATAATAAAATATATCTATAGCCAACTAGCATTTTCCTAGTGGTAGAAAATTGGTCGGAAAAGTGGTATGCATATTTTTATTCTCGTCCGCCAGAATATTATGTATAATTAACTTGTATCGGCTAATGAATATTTAATCGTCCCCTATATTCGTCGGAACTCGAAAAAGCAGCTTAAATAATCTAATAGATTACCGCCGAGGTAAATACTTTTCAAAATGAAAAAATCTATACCTAGTATCTACACTTATAGACTTATGATTCTACCGTCAGTGACTAAGTCGGCAATTCTTTGAAAAGGTTAATATAATACCGTATGATATCGGGGTAATGATTTTTAAAATCAAATTTTAATTGTTTATTTTATGCTGTTTATACTTATTTTTATCTCCAAATATCTATTATAATATAATTAATAGTATCTAGTCTATTTTCTAACGTTCATATATTTTTATTTAAACATTTGAGGGATGATGTTTTTTTTCTTCTAAAAATGTTGATATTATTTGTGTCTCATATTATGGAAAAATAGTTTAGGCACTCACTGCAGTCATTAAATTATTATATCAGTAAACTTAATTTTTAAGAGAGCACAGTAATGCAAGAATAACAGTAAGACATACGGGGAAATATTATTTGAGAGATGTGGGGCTTTAATTTATCCAAGGATTTTATAAATAATAAAAGCACTTTTTATTCGGAATAAACCAATTCACAATAGTGATACAAGGATATATTGATAACACTTCTACAAAACTTGATTAAAAACAAATTCAAAAATGTCTATCTAAAACTCAAAACATTTTAAAAAGCTCAGTTCTACAAACTATGGACCAAAACAAATAATAGTAATTTACGACCCCCGACTGTCACAAGACGTACTCCATTCGGATGTCACTGCAGTCGTATGATAACTTTTCGACGACAGTTATACTTGCACACAAACTTTATCTTGTATAATATTATTTAACACAATATTAATTGTTATTTGTCATTAGATGGAACACATATTTTCTCAAGTTTTACTTCTACTACTACCGACCGTTGATTATAAATAATAAGTGGATAAAAACAGTGGAATGCATGGCTTCAGCGTAGTGACGCTCCGTCCAGACGTTGCTGGGAAAACGTTAAGTCCCTACAGTTAAGACTTATAAGTATGGAAATTCTATGAATTGAATAAGATTGAAATATTTTTTTCATTTTTTTCTGTGATGCAATTAATATAGACACAGGTAAAATATAATTGAATTCAAATTTGACACATCCGTTACAGTTATTCATTGTACACCTATTGTACAGGACCCACTTGCCCACCTTTTTTTTTAACGGTTTTAAAAAACACGACAAAGAAAACAGCGATCTCAAAAAATTCCAAAAACATAATTTTGGGCGTGATCTGTTCACACACCGACTTTCGGGACATAACCGGAGTATACAACTATTTCACATATCAATACATATTATTATAACAGGATGTCTGCTCACCGGGTCGTAGATGACGACGCGCGGCGGACGATCGCTCTCGATGACGGCCACGTACGTGCCGTTGACACGACCGTCGTTCGGTCTGCCGTCCAACCGCTTGAACTCGTACCGGGACATGTGGCCGGACACCGTCTTAAGCAACGGCGGCCGCGACGGTTGAGGCGCCGGCGCGGCGGTCGGCGCTTCGATCTCTTCGATCTCGTCGTCGGTCTGGTCGTCGTAATCGTAATCGTTGGCGTCGTCGTCGCCGTCGTAGTCCTCGCCCCCGGCGCCTATCCCCCGGGCCCTGGCCGCCGCTTTGATGTCTTGCACCGTCTTCAAGATCCAATCGCCCGATGGCCACGACGAAGACGTCGTGGTCGGCGGCGGTTGGTGTTTCGGACCGCGTTCGTCGCCCACGTCTCCCACTGTCGTCGTGATTTTCGGCGGTGCCGGCGATGGAGTGGTGACCGCCGCCACCGGCGTCGAAGTGGACGCGGTACTGACGGCGGCCGCTCCGACGCCGTTACCGCCGTCGGCCGCCACCGTCGCCGCAGTCGGCGTGCCCGTCTCGTCCCGGCCCAACATACCTGTGGAAGGAGTAATAATATTTTTTTAATGGTTGCACAGTGTCAATCGGGTGCCAATAAAAGTTTTTAGAACCAATCGAGTCGAGAGTTTTCTTCAGGCACTAGCTAATAATAATTATTACAGAGACCAGTAAAATAAAAAATATAATATTCAATACAATATTTCGATAACTAAGGCCAGCTAGAAAACACCTCGATTCTGCGTATATTATTACACCCACATGACACCCAGCCGTCGAGATAGATTCTTCGTTATAGCACGGTGTCATCATAGAGTATAACCTAACTAGTTGTCAGCTACAAAACGCTGTACCATGGAAACTTGTTACCAGTTACGGTTACAAGTTATTTCATTATTTTTGTTTATGTCTTCTTGAAATAATGACACTATCTACTAAATATTATAATTTTGTAAGCAGTGTTAATGAGAACGATATAATGTATTATACTATTATGTAAGGTAAAACTAATATTCAATATTTATTCAATGTAAAAATTAAATAACTATTTTAGTAAGTATGGTTAGAGCATATAATATTTTTTGTTTTTTACAATTCGACATTTAACTGTAGATAATTGAGGTAGCAGTTAATTTTTTTTATTGAAAAACCATCTGTTTATACCCTCTACAAACATTGGCACAAAATAGCAGTGGATTTACGCATTTTGATAAACATGCACTAAATCGCTCCTGCCCGAATATTCGATTTAAAACTTACTGCGTGCACGTTGATACATTTAATATTGTATGGCTGTAGAGTTGATTGATAATGTTAATATGAACATTATTTTTATACAATTTACTTTAGTTTTTTAGTTCCTATTCGAAATAAATTATACATTTATACTTGGGTAGTTGGGTATAATATATTGATGAATTATGGGGGAGTAAATGGCAAGTTAGATGTATATATATTATATGAGATGTGTAGATTTGTAGGTTGCTTTAAAGTTTAAAGATAGTATACATCCATTTCAAACCACAAAATGATTTATATATTTACTTGATTTAGTCAAAATTTTAACTTCAACTGTTCAAAAAAGTTATTGTTGTAGCTTTTTTTATTAATAAACAAAAATCGTATCGTATTATCTTACCCAATAACCTAACTCTTGTTCTTTATTGTAACTAACGGTTGATCGGAACCTTTATAAAATGGCAAAGTAACACTGAGTTTTTGAATTGAAGTTTTTGAACGGTTATCAACTGATAACTAGCTAATAGCTATACAGAATAACGTTAGTGAGCAACTTAAATACAAACTTTACTGAACTATCATAATTAGTTTAGAAATGTTTGACTAAGACATATATTCCATTCAAAAAACTAATATTCATCTGAAATTTAGGTATAAACTGGTATAATATTTTGTTGTTCTATGCAGTATTATAATACAAATTTAAAAATTATAATTAATATTTAATATAAATATGTATTTCCTTATTGCATATTTAAACACATTTAAAATGGAGTTTTTGTGTTATTTTATACTATATCCTTTAAAAAAAGTGTCATTCATAACTTGTATACTATAGTTTAGATGTCAAAATGTGGAAGGAAAACTTAAAATATTAAAATTAAAAATTAAAACAACGTGTCGACGATAAACGTCGTAACTCAAGGTTGTCAAATATTTCCGTTGGGAAATATATATAATGATAACAAGTAAACTTTGTATATAGTGTTAGATGTTGACTATGAAGGTTTGACTTTAAAATTCATGTGTCATAATATAATTTATATCTGTCAACAGTACTAAAAACGCGTTGATGGGTTTTAAAACAATAAATAATATAATATTAGAATTGTGTAATAAATATTAATGTACAATAATAAATCCAATTTTTGTATTTAACTGAATCATATATTTTGAAAACGATTCTGCCATTCATTCAAATTACTTACAATGTCCATAATTTAGTTTTTATTTCACTTTTTTCCATTAGAATTGTGTTTTGACTTTAGTTATAACCAAATGTATATTTTTAAGTAATAAAGTTAAATTGTAGAAGTAAAATCTATCAAATCACAGGTTTCTTAATTGATATTATCTTATTCTTTACTCGCTGCACTGTGACGACGGTGAAGCTATGAGTCTGACCAGAGCATTAAAATTTACATTTTTCGTTAAGTTTGAAATGTTAAGTTGTTTTTGATATAGAAATATAGTTCTTTCAAAACGTTTTGTATTATTGTGGGCACATTTTAAACCTAAATGTAATTTTACAGTTATTATTATGCCTTAGCATAGCATACCTTTATGAACATAAATTAGGTAATAGGTAGGTTCCTACAGATTTTTACTATAGGTACCTATAATATTTGAAATATAAAATCAATTTGTTTTGAACGAAAGTAATTAATGTTAAATAGTTTATAAAGAATATGACATAATTTATTGTACTATCATGTGCGCAGTAAAATATTATCCATTGACGAGACAAAAAATAACAAATCAATAAACGAACACGGCTTAAATGTTACTTTTAATCTCTACGTCCGATTATAATTATTTTGACTTTAGATAAATTGTTATTGTGCCATCATTATAACGGTGGTCTGTGCTAACTGCTAATTATTAGCTTACACAACGATTTCTAACGAATGCCATATATTCTGACATTATAATCGTAATGAGTGCGTTATCGTTTCAACATAATATAGATATAATATTTATATAACATTACCATCGTCGCCGTCTCCCACGGGATAATAATGTTGTCTTTCCAACAATTATTATTGTTGAAAGATCGACGACCAATATAATAATATAACACTATCAATTCATCGAAATCACACACTCGCGCACGTTGTTGACTAATATCATATTATACCAGCGGTTCTCAAACTATTTTAAATTTTATTCGCGGAGCCTTTAAGTCGCTATAAAAAACCTTCAGAGCCCCGAATGCCAAATATCACTAACACCAGTTATAAACCAGAGAATTCGTTTAATTTTTAATTTGTTTTCTTTAAGTAATACATATGCATACAAAATAATTGATTTAATTAGTATAGTTAAGAAACATATTTGTATAGTGTGTATACATTGCGCTGCAATTTGGCAAGCGCCGTAGATTAAAACATTAGAACCAGTGGGAACGACTTAATCACATGAAACGAACTGTGGAGAATCATTAGCGTTGGTATCAATATGAACAAAAAGTGATGAAACTTTCGCTATAGGTACCTATCCATCGCGTCTACGTCTCAATCGTTTCGGAGCTTTGGCAGAAGGTAGTTTGTTCGATTTCGGATAGCTACGACACCGACTGGACTGTCATTTATAATACTATACAGGACTCGCTCAATTGCAGTTGCCCACCCGCCGTCGCCATGTCGTGCAGTCTTCGAACAGTCATCGTTCGTGTTAATTTCTGGTACAACAATCACATCTGCGTCACCGTGTACGTAACAATATTCGTGTACAGGTTTTCGTTGTGAACACAAGACTCCAAAGTACATCAGACGTCTAATAATGAGACCGAATCTACCTAGCACCTGGTAAGAACCTCACAATTTTTAAAAATTTTAAATTAAAAAAAAAAATAATATCATTTTATCGATTTCAATTTTACGTAACATATAGTATTATAATAGTTCTACATTTTTATTTAAATATTCTACGAAATATAATATATTATTTATGCATATGTACAATAAATATATATTTTAGAACAATGTAAAATAATATAATATGTTCTATATTTGTCGTATTGAACGAATCCTTCTATCGTCATATTAATAATGTGAGATTCACATCATATATTTGTTTGTTCGTAAATCATATTTGTTTGAAATGTTTGACATGCTTGCATGTCACCCAAACACCATTACTTTTTTACCATTACAGCTTAATATAAAAAAACTTATTTTATCAACCATGACATTTGTTATTTTAATTTTTTTTTTAATTTTAACAGTTATTAATAATTGTTTTACATATTATGATAATTAACACGATGATTAATCAAATAAAATGTGTAAAATGTATACATGTTTTGATTCATCAAATTTTTCATGTTCGTAGAATATTAATACATTACAACGAAACGTGTCGTTCGTAAGTTATATTTATTCTAATTTATATTTTTAAAAATTAATGAAATTAAGACTTAATTAAAATGTTGAAGCCCGTTGTTGGTCTTAATTTTTTTTTAAATAATTGATACACTTACAATTAAGCAAACTGCAGATTACATTTAAATAAATTCAGAAACATTTTTTACTTTGAAAAAAAACTAAAACACAATAACATATTATATCCCGTTCGATATTATATATCATTAATACATATTTTATGTCGATTGTGCATTTAAACGTGTTTTGAAAAAAATTCCATGCTATTATGTAATTGGTTGAAAAGTCAGTATAAATAATTTTATTTAATAGGGCAGGCAAATACAAATTACCGATCTATTATAATAGCACTATCAAAAAAAAGAAAAGTCGCCGAAAACAAGATGACGACTACGTCGTCAGACGAACAAACGGGACGACGGACGACGAACGCAATCGGCGGCATATGGAAACCGCACGAGAGAATAATCTTAATCATGTAAAACGGATTGCTTATTATAGTATAATATACTATAATAATATTAAAATATGATGAAATAATAATACTACATACTAAACAAAATGTCAATGGATTAATAATAACAATTAATAATAAATTATGTGTGTGCGTGTTTTTTTTTCTCTCCCACCACCCTCAAAAATATGTTACAGAGAAACGTTTACAGATAATAAAGACGACGACGATGAAATGAATGCCGCCTGCGTCACCTGGCTTCTGATTCTAGGTTGACAAAATAACTGCGACTTGACACATGAAAGTGACGCAAATTATCAAAATGTAAACCTATATTGTTTATTTTTCATTTTTCCACTATCGGTGATGTGTGGGCTAGAATTTACACTCCTGTCGGATTTGATTAAATATAAGTTTTCAAATAGTAAACTGTGAATAAAACGTCAAGTATTTCTCTGTGCCTAT